TAAAAGAACTCTATTGGTTAAACTTGATTGACGTTTTTTGAGGATTATTATAATAGATATTATATTTTTTTAAATTCATAAATATATTATAACCATGTCTAATTGACGTATATAATAATTCATAATGTATAAATAGACCTGTGCGTGTACGAAACTATCGGTGGCCGGCACAATTTGTCGCCTGCCCCGGCGCGCCAATTTTTAGCCTCAGTCATCAAAAGCGGCGTAAATCGGCGCAATTATAAATTTTTATAACATAAATTTTTTTAATTGCTTAATAATTTTTAAAAAAATAAATAAATATACACTATTCTACAGATATCTCGGCATATGTTTTGATCTTTATTTAAGATAAAACTCACAATAAATCCAAAATCGATTTCGTAATTTTATAATTATCATATATAAAAATGATTTTATTTAAATTTTTGGATATCCTTGAATTCAACGTCAATCCAGCGGTAGATAAAACTTTTTCACTGGGTGTGCTAGTCGCCGGAATACAAAATTTTCTTTGGCGAGCTGGAAAGATTGGTTCACTCTTCTTTTCTCTCCAAAAATTTAGAACATCCATATCTTGTGAATGTCGTCTTCAAAGAAGAATGTGGTATTCTTATTCTGTCACCTAACGTGGAATCATAATTTATATTTGTTGAATGTTTATTTGCCAATTTTGTCAACTTGAATTTAATAATTCCTCTCGATCCTCAATAGCTATATTTACTATCTGAATATCATCATTCTATATAAGTTTAAGATGTTTTATTATAAATTCTGAAGCTCAGCAATCTTGTTCTACTATATACTATGACACAATTGTCAATTTTTGAAATCTTAGATCTAAAGGAGGAGAAGCCAATACCTAGATAATTTTTGAAATAAAAAGTGAATTAAATAAATGAAAGTACTTATATATTATTACTTGAAAATCACAAACCGGAAATCGTAGCGAAAGTTTTTTTTAGCATATTTTCCTTAAGTGAAATGATTTCAGAACTATCACTGTCATTTACTATTAAATGTGTTTCAATTTCACCTCTAAAAAGTAACGTACTGATAGAAATTCGACAGTTTCTTTAATTTTTAAAAGAAATGCTAATAGTTATTCTACCAGATCAGATTAATAGTTTGATAATTTGAGAAAGTGTTTTCCAATTCTTTTCAAAACATTATTAATTATATTCTTATTTAATCCACATATGGTTTCTAGCATAATTTATATATGCCAACGTGTTGGGACGTTCAATTTTAAGGTTTTGCGTGGAAATATTGTTATCATTATCAATGGAATTGCCAATTTAAAATCGGGTATCTGGATATGGATCAGTGCTATCATGATCTAACATGTCTGATGTTAAATCTATTATACTTAGGCATTTTTTGATCTGCCTCGAATTCAAATTCAACTATTGTAGTTTTATATATTAGAACAGTAATAATTCCTATAATTCTTTTGATGAGATTTTCAAATAAGGGTACCTTTTTAATACCATCTACTGTAACCAGATTGTGTAAACCATGACCCAAACATAAGCGGTGTTCATATTCACCTAATCAAACACCCTTTCTAACATTAGACCCAGCATCAGTGACCATTTGTATTTTTTCTTTTTTAAATTAAATTCCTCTTCTATTTTATCAATCTCAATTGGAATAATCTCACCTGTGTCTTTTGGGGTTATATCATGAGTTGCTAAAGTAAAGTAAATCATTTCAAAATTATCTATTATTAAATGAAGTGTAAATGTACTATAGTTTCTTCTCTGTATTGATCTGTCCACATATAGAATGTAATTGATCAAAATTTTGGCCTTTGAGTTAATTTCTTATTGTACATGTGCTTTCATTGATAGGTAAACATTATTAATAGCAGTCGGGCTTAGTGTTGTCCTGTCTGGCAAATCAGAATTAGAATTGATAACTTGGTATTTCTAAAATAAGTATTATGAAAAGTATAACATAAAATCATTATCTTTATATATTAGACAACAAATTAGGGAGAATTTATCAAGAAGAAATATATTTGTTAAAAATTTATTCTAGGTTGTAAGCTACACAGAAACATAGATAATGAATATGAATTATCAAATATTATTTATATCATTCATGTCTATGTGTAATCTTATTGTTAGCATGGCTATGAAATTCAACTATTGTAAACCTTCCTCAGCAGCAAATGCTATTTCAATAAAACAAAAAAGACATAAAGGTTTATCTATTATAGATAATATATCAATTTTTTTTTCATAAATTTGATACCATCAAAAAATCTTTCATTCTTATATTATCAATTGATTAAAAAGATAATAAGTCAGTACAACATAATAACACATAGTTTCTTATTAGGCATTTCTAGAGGTTTTAGAATTTGTCTGAATTTTGATTAATTAGGTTTTAAAAGGTAAAAAGAAATTTTTTTTAAATAAATTTAAAATATAAGAACTTTTACCTTGGTATTTGTGATCTTATCAAAAATAAAATAATTGAAATTTAACTTTGAAGCCAACTCTCCTTGATTCAGTCCAGATGTCATAGGCTCTAATGAAAGTTTACACATCAAAAATAAAATAATTGAAGATTTTAATAAATATTGTTTAATTTGGTGTTGAGCAAATATTTATTACTAATATCTAAACATCATCTATTATTGATATGGCATCTGAATTTTGATTAATTAGGTTTTAAAAGGTAAAAAGAATTTTTTTTATATAAATTTAAAATATAAGAACTTTTACCTTGGTATATGTGATCTTATCAAAAATAAAATAATTGAAATTTAACTTTGAAGCCAACTCTCCTTGATTCAGCCCAGATATCATAGACTCTAATGAAAGTTTACACATTAAAAATAAAATAAATGAAGAATATAGTGTTTACTATGGTGTTGAGCAAATATTTCAAAAATATTATCTATATAAAATTTGTTGAAAAAAGAATATTTTACATGCAATGGCAAATTTGATATGGATATTGTGTTTTGCCATATTATATATCACATGGGAATTACTAATGGCTTAAAATTTCTATGATGATTATCATCGGACAAATATTTTTTAAAAGAACTCTATTGGTTAAACTTGATTGACATTTTTTGAGGATTATATATATAGATAAGATAATATAACTCTTCTAGCACCCCTATTGTTACTAGATTAATTAGAATTGTTATTAAATATCTTGTTCTAGGACTTCTACCTGGAATCTCAGACGCGATGACCTACTTTAAATTAAGTTTCGCATATATTTTCATTGCCGGGTTGTTTTATGTGTTGATTCTTGATCCTCCTTGACATTTGATAATTTTCCAGCTATCATCAGCTAAGCTTTCGACAAAAAAAGTTTTAATAATATTTTTGAAAGCGTGTACGCTATAGCTATGCCTATGATCCTGATTGTATTGCTGTCGTAACCTGATTTATTTATGATATTATAGCATTACTTATGTCAATTTTGACTGCTACTAGTCGATAAGATAGTGAACTATACCTATATCGAATTGCATAGTGCTCAATATATAGTTAATTTTGATTGTGATCACCATTCACATCGTTTGTACCCTGGTCCATGTTGTTCACACCCATGCTAAGCAAGTTGTACTCCTTCCTTTTGCATTCCTGTCATTCGCAATTTATTAAATATTCATGATGTTTATATCGTTCGAATCACAAGTTTGATTTCTATCGTTATGCAATAAAATGTTTCTATGACAGTCGTTGTAATTTCTATTGTTGTGATTATGACTCTCGTTGGGCCTCTCATTATTTCTGTAATATTTGTATATCCTGCGTTATAACTAATTATTTCTTGTCCCCCGAGATTGTTTAAATTACCTTCAAAATTGTTATTATTTTTGAATTTATTAAAATTTTAATTGTCGCTTGGATAAAATCTTGGAAAACTAAAAATGTAAGCATTATTCCTCTTATCAAAGCTGTATTGACTGTCGCTGTTGTAATACCTAGGTCTTTCATTACAGCTTAGACCTTGGCATCTCTGTGTTATAATATGGAGTAGATTTTGGGTAGCGCTTGTTATAGTGGCTGTCATATTGTGGGCTAGGAATCCATTGCTAATAATTGACGTTGTCCTATTGAGCATGTAGGTGTATAATATTGGCTTATTAATGGTCTTTCACTTTGTCATCCAAGATCGTTGTCGTTTGATTCCATGTCACATTCTTCAAGACATATGTTGTAAATGACATCTATGGTTGTTCACATAATATTTAATTCTTTTCCTGATCTCTTTGGAATGCATAGCAATCTTTACCTTTCAACCATTCTCATGAATGCTGGTAACATGTAATTTTTATTAAGTATGGCTACTCGCGTGACCCATTCATTGTAAATCTCGTCCTTCCTTTGCGCTGCAGCGTAAAATTAGGTGAGCTTAGTGTTTTCGTTCTTGTTGGGTGTTGAAGTTTAAACTTTTTAAAAGATAAACGGTGTCAGATAGAGCATCGTTTTCAAGGTTCCGATACTACAATGCAACCCTTGCTTGTGTCAGAGAAAATTTTACCTCCCATAAGCGCTGTGATCACTGCTAAATTTGGAGACATGAATCGGTTAAGATATGTATGTTGTCTTTAATTTCCATGATTATCTATATAGATATATGATTTAGTTCAAGACTCTAGAACCTAAATATTTTGGGGGCACCAGGGCTAATAAGAGTTTTTTTTAAGATTTTTTTAAATTATATTGTTTTATTGTTAATTTTTAATAAAAAAATAATCCCTTATTAAAAATAATCATTTCAAAGGAACATTAAAAATTAAAAAAAAAAATTACATAACACATCTTCAAATAATATATTAATATCAAGTATTTATATCACAAAACAGTTAAATTATTATAATAGAAATAACACAAAAAAATTAAATTCAAATTCCTCTAAATACGCCAGTGATATGCTATGTATTGTATTTGACTATTTCTCAAATTGGCAATATTTAGCACTCATGAATAATTTCATATGAATGCGGTTTATTAATCTTGTCATTCATTTTTTCATATGAGCGAGGTAATTTGAATATTTTGATGAAATATTAATTTTATACATTTCTATAATTATGATATTTATTTGTTTAGTATATTGAGGAAGAATACAGTGAAAATGAAGAGGTATTTTGAAATTGATTATTTATAATTAGAAAAAAAAATTAAAGTCTTTGGAACCAAGATTGAAGTATGAAAGATTGGGAAATGATATCTATAATATTTTAGACAAAGATTCGTTATCTTGTTTTGTCGCCCATGAAAAAGTTTAGTATAATTCTCCAAAAGTCTTATAATAATTTAATAAAAGTTTCTAGCAATTGGTACTAGTTGGGGGATGATTCACATCATAGATCATCTAGGCAATAAAATTCAAGGAAAAGATATAGCCACTGTAATTTTTATTCATGTTTCTATAAAATGTAAATATAATAAAAGCATTCATCCACTGTTAATCAAATAAGTGTAGATTTAATGGGAGAATATATAGCAAGTTGTTCACATGATGGCAGAGTAAATATATAATTAATAACTTGATTTTATAGTATATGTATTTAGATTATTATAACTGGTTTATATAATTCAGAGCATAATCATTCACAGAGATTTGATATTGAAGTTAAGTGTATAGCTTTAAATCCACACTTTGGCAAAGTAAACACATCTAAATTATTTGTAGTTGGTCTAGATAAAGTAATGTTCATTATAAATTTTATTTTATCAAATCTTTCAAAATAGGTTATTATATATGAAAAAACAATGTTAGGGAAAAAAACAAATATTATATATGGTGGTGGCTTTGGTTCTATTGAGAGCATCAAATGGTTTTCAAATTATATAGCTTGGAATGATTTAAAAGTATATATCTTAATTTAAAATTTTCTTTAAAAATAACTCTTATTCTATAGGCTGTGAAAATTTATGATACCTACTCCAATAGTATTATAGGGAGTATCATTAGAGACTCTCATCCCATTAAAACTATTTTCCCATGCTGTATTAGATGGCATTCTCAACCCCAAGAAGTTGAAAAATTATGTGTTTTAGATTCCACTGAAAATAGCAATAAATCAGTAGAACAATCAGATGAGGAAAAAAGTTTAACTGGCAGTAGTAAAGAAAATTCCTTGCTTAAAAAGAATTCTCCTCAAATCAATATTAACAATAAAAATAAGATATTTATGATAGGGTGGATTGATCAGATCAAACTATGTAAGATTGTATCAACTTCTCCAACCTCTAATCCCAAAAATTTATCACCTAAATCAGGTGGCATTTATTTAACCACATCATTGTTTGAAAATTTTAATATTACTGGCAACACTATTATCAAATATGTACAAATTTTTAGAACAGTCACAACTCATTTTTACATATGCGGATTGATACCATATCCTGACATTAATAATATAGCTCTCTTAGCTTACTCAAAAGTAAAAAACATTGATTTATACTTGTTTACATTACTACAAATTATATATGTAAAAAAATTTTGATAATAATTTCTGCTACAATTAATTTTATTTTTTTCCCTTTAAATAATAAAATTGTAAATCATTGAAAAGAGCATTTTTGATTACCTTAATTGTCCTAAAAATCAGGGATGTGAACCCTTCGATAAAAAAAAAGGGTCCAGGTTTGTGTACAGGAATAAAATTTGAAAGGACCTGGGTCCAGGGTTCGGGTTTAGGGAACATAAAAATAATGACTCAAAATAAGATTTTTTTTATTCATTTATTATCATACTTCATTTACAAATGAAAAATTTAAAAATAAAATAATTTATATTTTAAATGTTTTATTCTCGCACAATTATAATATCTTCTAAATATCGTCCCTGAGATTTCCACGTAAAGTAGACAATATATATTTCAAAGATGAAAATACATGTTCTACCCTTACTTAAAATAGATAGTTATCTTTATAAAATTATTGTACTTGTGTCACCGGGAAGATTCTAGATAAGATATATAATTCTGGATATATTGAATAATTTTCTTTCCAGAATTTTAAAATATTTATATCCATATTTATTCTCTTAACTTCTGAGAACTTTATTATTAAAGATGCAATTGGCATTTTTTGATCCTCCTTCTGATGATAATTTGATTTTTTTTTCTTTATCAAAAAGTAAAATTTCAAGATCATCAATGTTGCTATCATTGTTATTATTATCACTACAATCAATAGGTATTGTCATAGCCTCCAATATATTGTAAATAATGGAGTTTTGCTTATGCCATAAATCCTTAAGATGGTCTTTAGCCATTTGTTTTTGCTCAATACTCAATAAAACTTGATACCGAGGGTCTAAATATATATAAGCATATACAACACTATTTTGCAAATATTGTTGCCCTCAAATTTTTTTTCTAATATTTCGTATAAAAAGGACTAAATTTTTCTAATCTAATCGGCATCTACAGTGTTGTGATGATTTAATGAAACATATTGACGATTAAATTCAAACCCATTCATATAAAATGATAATATTTGCAAAAATAATTAAAATATAGACATATCATTATTGATTTATTATTTCTTTTGTTGTACATTTGTAAAGATTATAATTATATATGCATGTGTTTTAATTAAATAGTCAATATGTTTCATTAAATCATCACAACACTGTAATCCATATACCTTAAAATCAAATAAACATAAAAAGAAATTTCAATAATGCTATGTCTATATTTTAATTATTTTTTACAGAAATCTTTCAAATTTAATAATCTTTCTAGCATCATACAAATTGAGGACCAACGTGTTGTGCAATATTATTTAAATTAAAATATTATTACTTGTACTACAAAATAATTCACTTTCAAAATAATCAACGTATTTCTATAACATAGCATATTAATAAATTTACATAATAAAATATTATTACACTGGAAAATAATTTATGATATCACAATATCTAAATAAAATGGAACTCCAGAAAGAAAATTGAAAGAAAAACGCGAAGATAAAATAAATGATTCCAAAAAAAAGTTAATAAAATTTAAAAAAATATTTTTAATTTTTTATGACACCTAGAACCCTTGGACTCTTCACTTTTAAAAAGGGTCCGGGTTCGGGTTCAACCAAAATACGAGGGTTCGGGTTCACATCCTTGCTAAAAAATCCTTAATTTTCTTGTAAAGAAAATGAATTTTAAATTATTTAGCAACTTTGTAAATTATTTTTTGATTTGTTTAGGAAGATAACCAAATTATAGCCACAAGCTTAGCATCCGGAATGGATGATGACCACCAGAAAACAAATTCCATCTTATCCATCACGGGAATAGCTTCTGGAGAAGAAGTGTCTGAATTTCCAGAAAATAAACCACCATCTTTCTACTCACCTAAGCCAAAAATTGATGGAGATATATGTGTTAGGCCTCAATTACATGTTATTAATCCAAGAACTGACAAATATTATGAGGAAACGGTCAACGACGCCTTGTCCACCAAGGATTGGCAAACTACGAAACCCACTCAATATAGTTTAGGTATTGAAGTTTGCAAATACTAATATTATCATATTTTGTAAAATTGCCGATTTCATAGATTTTTAATTATTTTCACTTCCTAGATTATTTAATTGGAGAGGGAATCTTTTTTGTCGCGAGTCCAAAGGACATTGTTTTAGGTCGTTCTAGGTCCTCTCAAGATCACGTTTATTGGTTGTTAGACAAAGAATCATTCGAGGAGGCCCTCAATTCCGCCATCAAATTATATTATTCATATCAAGTTCAAGGTAGATTAATTTTTTATTATATATTTTTTTTCTAACTAGTTAAAAATTTCGAATTTTTGCCCAAAATCAGGGAGTTCGAATAAAAATGACGGGTCAAAGTTCAGACTCTGTAAAAAATTAAAGATATTAGACTAAGCACCGGTTTGGACACTGTCGAATTATGTATAGGAAAGCACATTTTTTTTATTTCATCATTAAAATTAAAATACGTGGATAAAACGTTCATTTTATTGAATGCACATTATTAAATAATATTTAATTTAAATATAAATAATACTACATGTAGATATATTGGATTCATTTATCTCTAGGCATTATAAGCTTAAAAATATTTAAAAAACATAAAATGGCATTAAACAGAAGTTTATAAAAATTATTAGAATTTAAACTAGCAAACATTTTCACATTATTTTATACGCATAAAATCATGGGGTCAACCCGGTTCATATAGTGGTTCTGTTCAGGTTTGGTAAAAAATACCTGTTTAAAGGTTTGGATTTGGTTCGGATTGGATCCCTGCTTAAAATCATATTTAACTTTTTTCTATAAGCCACCCTCATCCCTATTCCATATAATCAGGTTGAAGACAACTAAATAGAATTCTTGATTAATTTAAAGTTGGTCAGTGCCACTAATATTTGTGTCAAAGATACACTATACTTTTATATATAAGGTATAATTTTTTATCGGACATAATACACATGAAACTTTAGCTAAGATGCCGCTGCTAGTAATTTTTAAAAATCTGCTTATAGTATTTGATAACATAAATTCATTTAAAATCTATTTATCAAGCTGACAATAATGCTCTGACAATGACTACTAAAAATTTATCGAAATCTCCCTCCAGCCTCGCAACCAATAATATCAAGGAATATGGTAGCAGGCCTAGTTTTAACACCGAAGAATCTAACCAAGCCTTGCTTCTCTCATACAAAGTTGCTAAGATTTATTCTGACCACCTGATAGCCGAGGGACTGTTCGAAAAGGCGGCTCTGAACGTTATCAAACCGTATTACAGATATCCCTTCATGCCCCTATCCTTCTCGATCAACTCTGGCACTGGAGGTTTGCTTTTATGGAAAAAAAAGGCAGTTAGTTTTATATCGTGCTATAGAAAAAATTATACATAGAAAGAAAGAAAGCAAAATAAATGTAATATAATATAATCAGAAATTTAAAAAAATTAACAATAAAATTTTAAAGATTCAAAAATAATAAGCAACAATTTTAAACTCGCCATTGCGACGTTATTAATCGAGATGTGGACGGATGTGATTTACAAATTTGCGAAGAGTCAAAAGTTGAGGAGTTTGGTTCTGATCCTTAATCCCAATACGGCGGAAGAATACAAAGAAAATTTGAAATTTTTTAACGTTCCTCCTCTAAACAAGACGAATGATAAAGAGATTTTGGTCGAATTAGAATCCCAATGCTACCATTTAATCTTTTCCGAGTTATTGATGATAAGGTCTTCACCAAAGAGCCAGATCGAAAAATGGGTTTTACATGATAATAACGTGAGCTATCGGGTATTTTTTTCATAAAATGTACCTAACTAAAAGGAATGTAAATATACAATTTTTCCATGTGGCGATATATTTAATACGCCAAAAAATATATCGATACAAATACTAAACAACTACGATCTCTATCGATAAATAACTTAAAATTTGTCAAAATAATAATTATCTAATACTTCGTTATATGAGGAGTCAAAGCCCCACTCCAGGAGAAATCAAAAGATTTTATAGTTGAAATATATATTTTTTAAATAAGAGATCTGGAGTGGAAAAGGAGGTAAACCACGCTTGGCACACCTTAAGCTTAGTTATCGTGAAAATAGCGCGATATTGCTGTGATCAATGACATATATAATGCCTAGACTGACGATTCATTCATTAAAAGTGTACATCAATGCAAATCAGCTGGAGACGCCATCTTGGTTACACTAATCATTAAAATTTTAAACGAGAGGCTAATTTATTCCTATATCTGATGCAAACTTTATTAAAGAATTATCGGATCATCGAGATAATAAGGAAGCAAGTTATCAATTTAAAAGTAGTTTTTAACATGAGAATAATTACTATATGTGTTGCCAAAATGGCGGGTCCAGCTGATTTGCTTTTAACGACGCTTAAAAATGCATTTGAATGAATGATCGTCAGTCTAGGTATTATGTCATTGGCTGTGATATATTTTCTTGATTTCGGTATCTAGTCAAAATCATTCACTCTTTGTGAATTACTATTTCAATAAAGATTACAATATTATTTATATCGAGATTTATTACTTACATATGGGAAATGGCTCTTTTTTTTAGCTGTGCTAATTTTAAAGCCTAAAGTGGGTAAAAGTTAAGGGAAGAATGGGGAAGAGGGAAAGGGAATATTGAAGTTTATTGTACCATATAATAGAAATTAAGAAGTAATTATAATTTTATCCTTTATTTTGTTGTGCTTGCGCTTTAAGATTTTCCTCATTTTTTTCATGTCTCTTTCATTTGTAAACTCAATCTTTCAACCTACGTTATATGTTTGTATTTTAATTTATTTATTTTTTGTTTTATTTATTATTTAATTATTGATATTTAATTATTATTTTTTAATGATCATCTAAGCTATTTGACAATTTTTTGAAAGAAAATCTTAGCTTAATCTGAAATTTGCTAGGAAATATGTGCCGATAAAATAAATGATTGAAGATAACGACAGTGCCATCCCCTAAAGGGCGAACACGTTGCGGGCCACACGCTTAAATTTTATTTGCACAGACTTTTTTTTTAAACTCTTCTAGATATCATAAGAACTAACGATGCCACCGGTTACTGATTGAGCGTGATATTCCTAATTTTAGGGTTGTTTATTCTTCTCCAATGACTTAAGAAATCTTTACATGATATCAGTTGATTTTATTTTTTTAATAAATTTTTATGTATACATTTTCTTATAAATTTGTCTTTCTAGATTTTTTTAGACCTTATCAAGCTGCTGCCTTCCAGATTATACGATCTAAATTTCGTGACAAATTTAGTTTTAGAAAAATTAGGTCAAAATCCTGAAGATTTGATCCTGCTCCAATGCCTAGCTTTGCTGTAAATATATTATATTTTTTTAAACGTTTCAAGAGTACACAAAAGTTGAACCTTAAATAAATGGTTTTAAATTTATGCATACAGAGACCAGTCTAGCAGGAGTTTTTTTTTAAAATATTTCGGTCCAGGTTGCATTGTCAATTTATACTTTAGGACCCCACCAGATATATTTTTCTATCCAGACTATTGTACCGGATATTAGGTCTGGCCTGCAAGTTATCTACTTCTTTTTTTAGAAAGAAGAAAAACCTTCTTTTTTTTAAAAAAAAAAATTATATATAGCTTATTAAATTATTATAATTATTACAATAGATACATAAAATATAAATAATTAAATTTTATATATTATATATAATAGATATAAAATAGTTAAAATATATTTAATTTAATGATGGTAAGATAAGGATACATAATCTAAATTAATTATATATATAATAGGTATAAAATAGTTAAAATCTATTTAATTTAATGATGGTAAGATAAGCATACATAATCTAAATTAATTATAAAATTAATTAATTATTTTTTATATTATATAAACGTGTTACAAATACACAATAATTTTATGCACTTTCTGCTCTTGCCCTCATCACAACAAGAAACCGATAGCTACCATTCCCAACATACTGGCCCAACAGTCCCTAACTCCACTGGCGCAGATAGTTCGACGTTTGATCCAGCCGACTCTTCATATGTAGAAATATTTTTAACAACTTCAAAACCATTCGTCACATCCCGAATACCTAAGGAGGCAAGACTTTAAGTTGCCAGACACCTGTCCAAAAATCTGATTTCCTTGTTAGATAATTATTCTTCAGTAAACTAATGGCTAAATTTCCTTTAGGACCTTGAAAACCCCCCTGCTAGCAAAAAATCACTGACATGGCAAATTAGGGATGCCACTATCTACCTCTTACCCATTAATCACATTTCTACATCCTTTAAGAGGGATGACATGGATAAAAATAAGAAACATAAAAATGACTTGCTCACCAAGGTCAAATTAATATTTAAAAAACTCGATAACTTGTTTGTTAAATCAGCCATACGTCTAGCAACTTCTGTCAACAAGCCTACTGCCTACGACTCATTAAACAAATATATTGAATGTTACTAATAACTATTTTACATCCATATATAACATAAAATTTAATGATTTTTATTTTATGTATCTATTGTAATAATCATAATAACTTAATAAGCCTAAGAAATATAACAAGCTAAAATAACAGGAAAAAAAAATTATATATAGTAAAAATTTCGAATTTATGGTTTTGATAAGGGTTAACCTAGCCACATATTAGGAATATTTCTTGCTTATTTTGAATATATGTTTTTTTCAAATTAGATTAAAAGTAAAACAAAAAGATAATAATATCTCCCACAAGAGAAAGTGAAATATCAGATAAAAAAGATTAAACAATTGTATATTTTTTTTAAAATTAGCGTATTTAAATAATCAGGTCATTAATTACCTCCCTCAAAAATTCAACCTACTACGAGTACTCTAATTAGATTAGTGGTGTTGTATAATATATTTCGTAGAAATGGAAATTCTCATATAGATATATATTTTGAGAGAAACATTGTTTTTTCTTTTATACATAACAGTTATACGTTCAATGAGAAGTACGAAATGGCCTTATCCATTTACATCAAGTTAAATATGAGTTCGGAGACGTTTAAACTCATCGTCGATTATCAGCTTTTTGAAATGGTCAAGGATAAAACGATTTCTTCTCTTATACAATTGGATAAAACTCTAACCTTAAATTTGCTCATCAAATATCGAGACAAAGTAAAGTTATTTCTCTTCCTTGTTCCATTTCCTTTCTTTATTTTTATATGCATGCATAAAACATATAGTCGCGGGAATATTATAAGGTTCTAACAATCGAGTTCTAAAAAAAACATTATACCATTACCATTTAGCAGTGTTGTTAAAATAGCGCGCTACTTTTTTCAGTACCGGTAGCTTTAGCTGGCTACTTTTTTTAGAAAATAGCGATAGCCGTAGCTCGCTACTAATTTAGAAAGTAGCGAAGTAGCCTTTCAATATTACATAATAAATACATCTAAAAAATATTTTTTATTAAATCTAAAATTATAATCCTTTTATTTAATTTTGAAATTTAAATTTATATTTAAAAATATACATTATAAATGTTATAATCCTTTTATTTAATTTTGAAATTTAAATTTATATTTAAAAATATACATTATAAATGTAGTTAGCATTATAAATCTAGTTATTAAAAATGTGTGAGATTGTTGAAGATAGCGAAATTTCTTTGGAAAATGAGAAAAATATAGATTATCCTTTCTATAATATTAATATATAGTATTAATATAAAATTCAAAATTAATATATTATTAATTACCTTGTGTATAATAATTATATTTTTATAACCTTTATTTACCATAATTTAATGCTATTTTAATATTTTTTATGAATGAATCTAAATCTCAGATAAATTTAAATTTTGAAAATTAAAAAGGTATTCTTTTTTTTATAAATATAATCGCTTTATATAAATTAGATTTCCAGATCTGTATGATGATGATAACATAATAGCTGCTATTCATCCTAGTTTCAAATTAAATTGGCCATACAATAATTTAACTGAATCTAAAGGGCAACTTGATAGGCTGATGGTAACGTTAAAAAATGCCATGCCTAACCACGATACTAATACTATAGCAAGATCGAAACCGCGGCCTTCCATAGATGATTTTTTTGAATAATATTATTGAATCTCTAGATGCTTTTTTTAAATCTAAAATACTCATTTAAATATTTTTATGATTTTTTTCATATAAAAAGTGTGTTTATTAAATTTAATACTGCTTTGCGCTCAAGTGCTAGTGCTGAACGATTATTTGGTATGGCAAATATACTTTCTGATCATCGCTCTAGATTTGGGGATGATAGTACCGAAATGTTATTATTATTAAAGTGCAATAATAAATAAATTATATATATATATATGTAACAAATATAATCATGTTTTTATACCAATATTTTATTTGTGGAAATAAAATTACGTAAAAAAATATTTTAAAAAAAATCAAAATATAGCGTAAAAAAGTAGCTAATAGTGCGCTACTCATTTGAAAGCGGTAGCGGTAGCGCGCTACTTTTAAAAGTAGCATTTAACAACACTGCCATTTAGCTTCAAATTGCTATATTTTACTCCATTTAAAAATTAGTTTCGGCAACTTAAAGTGATCGATTAGAATTTTTTGAATCCTCTAATAAAAAAAATATCTTTTCTATTTATAGATAAATGTCAATCACATTGTCCAACAACTTGAACCCTCACCGAATCTGTTACTAAATTACTTGGACCTACTTTTTGAGAAAGACATTCATTTTGGCAAAAATTTTCACGGTCTTCAAGTTATAATTATATATTATATTTATTTAATGTTTTTTTTGCTTGGACACGATATAAGAGCTGCGTGTTTTAAAATTTTTTAATGAGATATTTCTTTTATTAATATTAATCATTCTAAAATTATGATTTGAACTGATTGATTTAAAAGATTTTTTTATATTTAACTCGATTAACTGTTATATCGCATCCATTGCGTCAATTATAAATGAAACCTTAATTCTTAAATTATCAATGACATATAATAATACCTAGACTGACAATTCATTCATTAAAAGTGTACATCAATACAAATCAGCTAGAGACGCCATCTTGGTTACTGTAATAAATATTAAAATTTTAAACGAGAGCCTAATTTTATATTATATCTGATGCAAACTTTATTAAAGAATTGCCTGATCATCGAGATAATGAGAAAGTAAGTTATCAATTTAATATTAGTTTTTAACATGAAAATAATTATTATAAAGGTTACCAAAATGGCGGGTCCAGCTGATTTGCTTTTAACGACGCTTAAAAATGCATTTTAATGAATGAATCGTCAGTCTAGGTATTATTATATGTCATTGTAAATTATATATAAATGTATATTAGGTAAAATTATACGCCAAATATGAACCTCTAAAATTGATGAATTTTTTGAAAAATAGCCAACATTACAATCTACACAGGGCTCTGGAGGAGTGTAGGACTAGTGAAATGCATCGTGAAATGGTTTTTTTGTATGGTAATTTCTCTTATTTTGACTTACATTTAAAACAAACTTTTTCCCTATAAATTATATATAATTTGAGAACGCCCTTTATTTTATACACTATTAAAAATTAAATACGAATGAGGTTTATTTTTTAAAATTTATTTATTTTGTTTAGGTTATTAATCAAGGATGTAACCTCCCTAGCCCTCATATTTATTCTGAAGTCAACCCAGGACCTGGACCATTTTTAAGAGTGGAGGGTTCTAGGTGTTAGAAATTATTTTTTCATGGAATCATTTTTTTCCTTCGCATTTTTCAAAAATTTTCTGGTGCTTCCATTTTATTTTATGATTGTAGGAAAATAGAACATTTGAAATATAAATTACTAATTAATTTTTTACTTGTAAATGATGTATTATAAAAAAATAAATGAAAAAAAATTGTGTTATTTTGAGTCTATATTTCTTTATGTTCTTCAAACCAGGACCCTGGTTTTTTAAAATCACATCCCTGGTATTGATAACCTCAACGTTGCATAAATATTAAATAGATAAATTTTGATTTAATTAATATGTAAATCGATAGTTTAAATAGATTGGATTTTTTGATATATTAGATAATTTATTGGTGATAAATTTTCAAAATTCTGTTTAAATGATTTAAAATAAGTATTAATATAAACCTTAATCTATTTTTAATTGGACAATAATATAACCTATTCAATGATTTTCATAAAATCATCAAAGAATGAGGATTTTTTTTTGAGAATAGTTGATCAGGATTAATGATCAAATGTTATCTAAGATTTAAAATACTTTTTTGTAAAATCTTTTGTGATTTCTATGCATAAAAATCTTTTCATGGTCTTCTTAAATGAAAATTTTTTAGGAAACTTTAAGTTATCATTTATTTAAAAAAAATATATATACATAATTATTAAATCCCAAAAAGTAAGAGTAGGAAATTCTAAAAAAGCTTTAGCCGTGATGATTCAAAACCTGGAGGATATAAACGGAGCTATAAATTATTGCAAGGAGCAAGACGATAGCGAATTATGGGTCGAACTTATCAATTTATCAATTAATAATCCTTGTAAAATAAACTTTCCTTATATTTATAAATTTATTGTTGGTTTGGACTTTAACGATTTTTTTATGTCATTTGAACGCGACATTATTTGACGAAATTTGCCGCTTATTAAATTTTTTTTAAAAACAAAGTATTTTATTATATATTAAAAGTGCATTATTATTCTGTATTAAATATATTTATTAGTCTATAATAAGTTAATTTAATATATTTTTTAGTTGTCATTATGAAATCTGGTTAATCATACGTTAAGCTTCATTGTTTAGTTGAATCACCTTTAGCTTCGGGTATGTTACTTTGAAATTAATTATCTCAAGTTAAAATAAATATCAGAGTTTATCATTTGCTCGAAATCAAATAGCTTTAAAGATCGTGAGAGATTTTTTTGGGCAGAAAAATCACTTCTGGTATAAATACATTTTTTTTTAATAAGCCTTCGTAACAATTCTACTACAAAATATCGGAACTTATGTCGATCCTCTAATACTAATTCAACAAATCCAAGCCGGAATGAAAATCCAAGGTTTGAGGGATTCGCTAGTCAAAATATTAAGGGATTATCATTTACAGGTCTTTTTTTTATTATTTGAATTTTTTTGCTTTTTACCATTTAGTTTTCTTTTTCAAATCTATCATTAAAAAATAAACCCGGTTTTAAGGCCCGGTCTGGGCTCAAAGATTGATTATGTGCGCAAAATTTGTTATTCATCATTATATTCGTTTTTTACTGAGGTTAGATAGAGCTCATTTTATCAAATTGTAAAAAATGAATATGATTTTTGAGAGTTTATAACGAGCGTTTTGGGATTAGGACAAAAAATATTATGATTCTGAATACTTTAGTTGTTTCGATTCTTAAATTTTACACGGTTTCAGACTCAGGTTTCAAACTCTATTATATCAAAAAAAATTTAAACGATAAATAAATACTCCAAGATGAGTCAATCGCACAATATTTTAAAATAATAAAAATATAAATTACTCCACAATTTTATAGTAACCGGTTTCTGGACATTTAAAGTTACTCTGTCTTCTATAACAGGTTTCGATTCCTTGATTACTTCCGGTTCCAAGGATTGAAGATTTCTATTCCAACATAAAAGATGGTTGATATTACAAATTTTTATATTTTTATTTTTGTATATAAATGGACAAATAATTTTGAACTAAGACCGAGCTCAGAGATAGTTGCAATAAAATTTTGCTCTCCGACGCCGCCCAATTATTCCGCGAAAAATTTCAAATTAGTAAGAAATCTTTCACCCTTACGGATGATGCCGATTACGCCTTCTTGCTAAACGAAAATATTCACAAGAACAACAAAGATCATCATCTTAAAAGTGTCCATTTTAACTGTAGTCATTGCCAGCAGTCCCTGTTCTCCGACTCTTCCTCTTTAAATTTCCACCCCGCTTCTGATAATAGCGTTTATAAAAGTTGTGATAAGGAGACATCTTCGACAAAAGACGAAACATCGATGACGGGTAATGTTTGTTTTATATATTAAAGATTTACTCTATTAAAGTAACACATTCTCTGGAATTGTCAGATTTCTATGAATCAACTCTGGAGTTTATTTTATTTGGATTTAGGCTTCAGTTATAGTAAGCGCTAATCGCTCAGGCAATGGAGCACACCTCGCTGGGTATTTTTCAAAAGTTCGCAAATAATAGGTTAAATTTATAATTGATCGCGCAATGCGATGAAATGAATAATATCGCTTTAGATTATAAATTTTACCTATTATTTGCTTTTAAAAAAAAATAAATACCAAGCTTAGTCTTATCTAGTTATCGTGAGACTCCATTTTGCATTCGTTTTATAAAAAATGGAGGCCAAATCTTAAAAAGGCTTGTTGGCCAAATTTTAAATATTAATGGGACTCCAATTAGACAAATTGCTTTGTAGTCAATTAATTGTTTTAATCCACATTTAGAACTGATTTAACAGCTGTATATTAGATTGTAATTTAATGTGCGCACATATGAGCGTTTCTACGAGCAGTGAGACAAGCTGTTACTTACGAGTTAATTAGATTTATTTTTTTTACTAATAGAGAAGCCGCTAATTGAGTTAATTCTCGGTAGATAGAGTTACAGCTGCGTTAGAAACGCAAATAATGCATTTCAAATGGTATCGTGCAAATTGGTCAAATTTCCGTTTAGCATTAGAAACCATTTTAAAGACCAAACTGCTTTTTTCAATTTTTTTTTAATTCTATCATTTTGCAAGTACCAAAATCTTGTTACCCTAAGAATGATATGGGGAAGGGCATTAAAAATTTCTTCCTATAATTGTTTAATTATATGTAAATTAGTGTTGATAAACGGCGTTCAGAGTCGATAATTCAATATTTTATCCAGAAAAATATTACGCAAGCCTGAAGATTTTGCTCATATATGGATGTCTATTAGCGAAAACTCGAGGCATAGGCAATATTTTTCTGGTAAAAATATTCAGTTAGTCGTTTTTAAAAATCGGCTCAAATCGAGCCATTTAACAACATTAATGAAAAATGTAAAAAATTAGCTTATCTTTTGAAATAGTATATTTAGAATTAATGAAATGAACCAGACGATAATATAATTTATAAAAACCGATTCTTTTTTTTAACTTAGTTAAATTTTGAATCGGCGGTACTAATAAAATGACAACATCAGTTTAAACAAGGGATGCGTTACGTTTTTATTATTAAAAGTGTATGGCAATAAGCAAACGCTCAATTTGTGCAAACTATAAAGTACTAATATTATATCTATTTTATAAATCCTAAATTTCGCCATAAAAAATTGTCATATTGAAAGGAGATTCTGAGAAAAAAAATTTCCTCTTTTTGATCTCTAAGTTAGGTAGACTTATTAATAATTATTTTCTATTATGCACACCTAAAATAACATAAAGACAATGGGGTAGATGATAGAAAAATTGGCGATTCTCGACATAAAAAAGTTAACTATATTAATCTGAATGACATTATTCTATACTTGTGCAAGCATGCCTTTCACCACGAGTGCCTTAAAAATTTACTTTACGAAAACTCTACCACTTCAATTTATAAAGTAATATTCAAATAAACAAATTTGTAATTCGCGATAATAATATATTATATCAGGGCCCGGTCAAATATGATTAGGTAAATTGGTCTATGTTTGAACTGTCAAATATTGTCAAATTCGAATAAAGTTTTTTAAGGCCTTTATTTTGTATATATCTGTTATATTAATTTTATAATATTTTTAAAATTCATTATCGTTCTATAATTAATGTTTCGCTTTTCGTGACAAAGCCTTGTTCTGGTTCATTAATTTTTAATAAATTTTCCTGATATCAAGGTTTTTTTAAATATCTATTTCTTTTTTCGTATGTCGATTAACCCAAATCGATTAATTTCTTTCTGAAAAAGAATTAATATTAAGAATTGTTAGTAAAATGCCATTTCTCTTTATGGGCAAGATGGGAACATTCCACCCATTTAGGGTCGAAATCGAATTGTTTTGGGAGTTTTTCACATATTTTTTCTATTAAATACACCTCCTTTTACTTCTGAAATTTATGATACTTAAAATATTGTATTATTTCATATGCTTCAACTCATTATTAATTAGATGCTCTCCTCTTGCTATGGTTGGGGATCCAATATCTTTTAATTTTTTTCTTCAGATTATTTGACCATATATGACTAGGTCAAATGACTTTTGACCGACTTGTCAACTATTATAAATATATTATTTAAATTTTATTTTATAACATCAGATCAATTGCCCCATATGTTCAAGTGTTTCTCAATCATTAATGTCTGCAATAGGAAAATGAATATTTTTGTATTTAATTTTATTTTTATAACGCTGGCCAATGATTGTACTATATTGTCAAATTTTTTCGTTCTGTATACGTATTTATCTTTTTATATTACAAGAGGAAATTTAATCAAATGTATAAATATAATTTCTAGGTTTTTTTTGAATGTCTGCCAGCAATGGATTCAATGTTACGAATATTATAAATAGACAAAAAAAATATTGAATTCTTTGCATTCTTTTTTTTAAAAAAAAATCAAGTCATACCTCAAATCAATGATTTTTTTTTAATTTTCCTTAAATAAAAAATATTTCTAAATTATTAATTTTTAAAGGCGGCAAAAAATGAATTATTCAGTTTTGTTTTTTTATTCAGATTCACCTTTGACTGATTTCACTCTATTTATAATATAAAAATGTAGTGGCAATAAACCATTTTTACTTATTTATGAAAAGCCTCAGAATTTATAAAATTACAAAAAATAATAAACTTTTATATATTTATTTATTTCAAAATCTCAAAGTAATAAAATTCCATGTGAAACATTTAGTGAAGGTCATGGTCCGGTCTTTTTCCGGACAGAACCGATATACACGGACTTGATTGGGCAACGATCCTCAAACAAAAGCCCGGTCCAGACTTTGGTTGACCGGTTTTTAAATTTTTTTGTTATTTTAAAAATATTCTTCTTTTTATCATATTTAATTCTTGTTTTTTTATATTTTTATTAATAAAAGTATTTTATAACAAAATCAAATATGAATAATATAATAAATGATACAAATATTTAATTTAATAAACTTTTTTTACAAACTTTTCCTTTGTATATTGCAAAAGTGAACTAGGAAAATAATCGCAAAAATTAAAATAACTTCTCTAGAAAATAAAATGTAAGCAAATTATATGAGTTGAACAGTAAGACACACTTAAATATCTGTACGGACCTAGACATAAAATGAATTATAAGATCGTTTTGATCCGCGGACCTTGGAAAATACCAGTCCGCCAACAGCCCCGTCCCGGTTTAGACCCTATAGAACTGAAACGTTTACCTTCAGTAATAATATAAAAAATATTGTCAATATATGTGACTTATTGAATTTGATATTTGAATGAATAATTCATTCTAGTGTAGTAGTACTAGCTATTGATCGGGTGGGTAGTAAAATTTTTTTATGATTAGTGATTCGCGATTTATGTACTTATGATTTATAAATTGAGTCGTTTTTTTAGATAATTTTATAAAATAAAATGAATAAAAACATAGCTTAGAAATTTTTTATTTCATTCATTTCATTGGTTTACCACCCGTCAAAAAGAGAACACACGTGGGCCTCGGATAACTCCTCAGGCTTTTTTCGCAAGGATGCCAATATAACCTTGTTATGTTACCTAGATGAGAATATGGAAGAAGGCACTATAAATTCCTTCCTAGTTGTTTTAATACATAAATTTAATTTAATATTATATAAAATGTAACAGATGTAATACTTATCTTTTAAAATGGAATAGAATGACGTATGGATTGCTCCTTTTATCTTTTAACTATTCTCATAAGGATTCTATCAATTATTATTTTGCAATCACATAATTTTTTAAAAATATTGCCTCAAAGGCTATAAATTGATTAAATCTATTTATTAAGAAACTTTTATTTATTTCTAAAAAATGTTCGTTATAGTCTCTAATCTCATTCTCCAAATTTTTTTAAATTATAGTATCATTTAACCAAACTATTTGTATTCGTTTCAATTTTTAATCTTAATCTCCGCATATTTCCTAGTATCTTTTTACGGTTATTGTTACTTGCCACTATGGTTGCATTTAAAAAAGTAACATTTTCATTTTTTAAAGAACGCATGTTGTTTTTTATTTCACCATTACAATATTTATTTATTTTTAAAAAATTATTTTTTATTTATATAAATAAATTATTTTTTCATAAATTTTAAATTAATACTCTTTTTTTTATACCAATGGTCGAAATCAATCTTAAATAAATATATATATCTTTGATAAATATTTTTTTTTACTTATTAAATTTTCCTTTTTTAGGATCAATATGGTATTAGACCCTGCTTTAATAAATGACCCTTCAGAAATTTATATTTTCATCATAATAATTTAGTAACACTAAAAATAAAGATAGCAACTGCACAAGATTTCCATATGACGATCTAAAAAACAATTCAAAACTTAGATGAATAGATTATATCCTAATTCTTTTTTATACTAGACTCTTCATAAGCTAATATTTTTATCAATCTATAAATTTTAATTACTATAATTTTTACTAATTAGTTAAATTTTGCAAAATATTTTATTTAGAATGTTAAAATTATTTAGAACTAGACTCTTCTAGAATTTTTGATTTATTTTTAAATTTAATTTTTATCATTGCACATTAAAAATAAAGATCAGCTCAAGAATTCCATATAAATGACCTAAAAAAACAACTAAAAACTTAGGCAAAAAGATTATATCCTAATTCCTTTTATTTTTATAATTACAATATACTGGATAAATTTAGATTCTGTAATGGATATTTTTTTTTCATAACATTTATTTTTTTAAATGATTACACTATTTAAATTTATTAATATATAATAAAAATATATTAAAAATAGATAAAATTATAATTATTTTGAAAATTTGTGAAATGATAAGGTTTTAGGTAATTGTAATAGAGCTTCTATGGGTAGTTCTAGATTCTCCTCGGATAATTTGTAGATTTTATTGGTTTGTGATATCCTGCATTATAAAAATTTCTTTGTTTAAAGCTTTTTTTTGTTAATTGTAAAGTTTTAACATTCTAAGGAATTTGAACATGAAGGTAAACTATTAATATTTTCCTAGTTTTCCAATATATTTATCCTTTTTTTGGTTTTCAGGTATTATAAATTACAAATCTTTTCACATCTTTCCTTTAACTCCTTAAAGCATAACATCATAAGATCAATTGGTAGCTCCTTAATATAAGTTGCCAATATTATTTTGAAAATAATCTCGCATCATCTTATATGCTTCCTTATCTGTTAATTTGCATTCATTTTTAAATAATTTTTTAAAAATAATTAATAATTTATGAAAAAAAAACATTATCAAAATTTTATTTATATAAATAAAAAATAATTTTTTAAAAATAAAAATATTTTAATGTTGAAATAAAAAACAACATGCGTTCTTTAAACTTTTTTAAATGCAACCCTAGTGGCAAGTAACAATAGCCTCTTTTTACACACCTTAGACTAATCTCCATAATTTATTTTTATGTTTATTTGTCACAGTTATCAATTATTTAATAGCTTCTAATAATTCTAAAATCTGAAAGATCTAGTCTCAATTAGATTATGCTAAATTTAAATACCAGTAACTTCTCTGTTAACTATAAATTTTATAAATTATCACCTATAAATAACCTAAACACAAACATATTTCTTTAACAATATAATTTAAATTCCTCTATATTATATTTTCTTACTTTTTATTTTGGAATTTTTGCATTAGAGTTCATTTAGACACTCTTTGTCCCCATGTAACCATTGTTTGGTAATAAACTAAAATCTCCCTAAAGTGGCCCTGGAACGTTTCTCTCTTAGGTCCACTGTAAAAACAGATTGAGTAACCCTTGTAAGAAAGAAAAATGTATATATGAATAATACAAGTTTTAATAAATAATATAATCCCTTTTAATAATCTTTATTCATCCATTAATCATAATTACAATCCGTAAAGTAAAAGGGAGGCGCGTACGCAGGAATTTGGTCTGGGGGGGGGGGGGGATAATAAATTTTTTTGAGAAATATTATTGTTTTTTAAAAATATCAAGCATAAATTTATTAGGACTAATAACTATTCCTAATACACAATTTTAAATTAATGTGAATTATAAAAAAATTATATGTAAAGAATCACTTAAATGACCCAAAATAAAAATTTGAATTTTTTGAGTCTTTACACAAAAAGTTTCTTAGGAATAATTGCATTTTGTATGTTATATATTTACAATGTAAAATCCAATCATCGTTTTGATTGAGCTAATTTTTCAATTATCTCATCCTTGCTTGTCGTCAAATGCCTATGAATATTCAAAAAATCCAAACCTTCCAATCTACTTTCACATGTTGTACTTCTTGGTATGTTTTTCAGAGACCTGCAGGCCCGGCTCCTGGGCCGGACAATATTTTAATTTTTTTAATTATACCAAGGCCGGGCCCAAAATTTTTTTTAAAAAACACCCGGGCCGGACCTAAATTTTTTTAAAAAAACACCAAAGCCGGGCTGTATTTTTTAAAACAGCCTGTATTTGAAATCGTTATTATTAGCTATAAAAATCAAAAATAAATATAATTTTTTAAAAAATCCAGGCCGGGCCTGAAAATTTTATTTAAAAAAAAGCCGGGCCGAGCCTGTAAATTTAAAAAAAAAGCCGAGCGGCCTAAAATTTTTTTTAAAAATAGCGTAAAAAATCTTAGAAAAAAATCCGGGCCGTGCCCTGCAAATGGTACTTCTGCAGGCCTCTGTTATTCTTCTTAAAAAAGAGTGTTCTCTCATTAGTTTACTAATGGGAAGAGTTTATAAACCCTTTTAATACATTGGGAATTTAATCTAAAATGTGTTTGAAATAATGCAGAGTATCCATAGCATTTTTTGGGACTATATCAACTATAGTTAATCTTATAAACATAGTTATTCAGCTAGTAAGGCATCATAAGATACTTTAACATCTTCATAATAAAAATCTAACAAATATTTTTTTTTCTATCACCATCTGAAAAAGGTTGGGAAGGCTTTTGTGGAAGTAATATTTGCAGATGTAAGTGCTGCATGATATATTAAAAATTCATTTATTTGGTTTATAAATGTATCTGCATCTAAGATAAACTCTTCTACTAATCCTATATTAATGTTTTAACGATGAGCTTGCCTTGCTGTCGAGGGAGACAAATATTAAACACGTATAGCTCTGCTTTTGACTAACAATAAAATATAAAATATGAAATTCTTCATCAACATTAGCCCTAATTTCCTAGAGTTCTGATAAAATGCTCTCCGCTATTCTCATCTTCTTAATCAAATCATTGTCATGTTTTTGAAAAGTAATACTTAAAATAGTTGTATAATTAAATAATACATTCTAATGAGAA